AATGGCAGGGAAACATGGCTGGCATCAAGTGCCTCAGGCTTCCTTTACCATAATTTTGTACAGAATTTGTAAGCGGCATCTCCTATGAACTATAACATGAAACTGATAATCATGTAACTTAAATGCACAAACTAAATAAAGCAAATAGAGAAAGGAAATAAGAACAAAAAGTGGCTGGAAAAATGTGACAGGTCTGGCAGCATTTGTGAAGAGAGAAACAGATTTAACCTATTGAGTCTAATATGTGTTGTGAATTTGATATAGTACTTGTGGATTGGAAGGCAGGACGTTAGGATTTGATGTTTGTAAAATAATAGGGGTGAAGAGCGTGTGGTCTCTTTAAAAGGAGATGTGTTTATTTCTGTGCTTGGAGATTAAAAAAAATGTCTGCAGGTAGCAGCAGATGCATAGAGAGTTCTTCAAATTGAAACATGCTTTCAAAGGCTATACTGTGAGCAGGCAAAGCAGCATTTCTACCAAGACAACAGGTTCTTGAATTTAGCCAATTAATTTAAACCAGGTCCTAGATACCAAAACCCAATTAAATTTAAATCTGATGGTTTTGACGAGCTCGGGCCAATCCTATTGTAAGAAACTAATAGGTCATCAAGGGTATAAAAGAGGGCATTTGAAAACCAGTGTGAGAACTAACTGTCATCTGAAAACTCACTGGCTCTGACAGAAATCTCTAAGCTCCCAGAGTAAGCACCATCTAAATAAAGGCCCTATAAGGGCAGCACGGTGGCACAGTGGTTAGCACTGCTGCCTCATAGCGCCAGGGGCCTGGGTTTGATTCCACCCTCGGGCGACTGTCTGTGTGGAGTTTGCACATTCTACCTGTGTCTGTGTGGGTTACTTTTGGGTGGCCTGGTTTCATCCCACACTCCAACAATGTGCAGGGTAGGTGGATTGGTCATGCTAAATTACCCATAGTGTCCAGGGTGTGTAAAGTGGGTAGATTAGACATGGGAAATGCTGGGTTACAGGGAAAGTGTAGGGGAATGGGTCTGGGTGGGATGCTCTTCAGAGGGGCAGTGTGGACTTGTTGGACCAAATAGCCTGCTTCCAAGCTGTAGCGGTTCTATGACACTCTTAGCTATTAGTTCTGAGAAAGGGTCACCAGACCTAAAATGTTAACTCTGATTTTTTCCTAACACAAGAATTTGACAGAGGAAGGCGTTCTTGACTGGAGGACAGCAGAGAAGTCAAAGAATGTTCTAGAAGACTTATACTGACTGTAATTTTGAGAGATTAAGTTTAAATTTTCTTTTATTAATTTGGTTTATGTAAGTGGGCCGTGTGTCTATTGGAACAGCATACCATTAGAAGTTTGTTTTATTTGGGAATAGTTAGTAGTTAAGGGGTCATTGTTCGGTTTGTTAGTAGTTCTGTTAATTTGTTAACTGTTAGAGTTAGACAAGTAAATTGTTACTGGTTGATTGTAAAGTGACTGTCAAGAGTTCATTTTGTTTCACCTCTCTTTTCATAACAGATTGGGGGCTCAGGTCCAGGATCTGGCCAGTTTGTGTGCAGGATCTGAACAGATCTGAACGGATGCGGACACATTTGAACAGATTTGGAGTACGCAAGGGTCACAGCAGATTTAAATAGACTTGAGGATTAATGTCTTAGATCTTTAAATAAAACTTAGGTGAGAAGTGGAATATCTGTTTAATTTCAGTGACTTGTGCTTGGTGAAGTCAAAAGTGGGGGAAATGGCTCTTAACATTGCTAAAGAGGTTCTAGGGGATAAGGATGCTTCCCAACTTTGCCAAGAAAGTTTAGAAAGGCAGAGGAAGGATATACTTTTAGACTTAGCAAACAGGCTAGAGTTGGGTTTAACTAGAGAAAAGAGAAAAGCTGAAATTGGAAAGGAGTTCATCAAGCATTTAGGTACACCAGAAAAACAGTCAAGTGCAGTGGAGTTAGAGAAAATTAAATTGAAAATTAGATCATTGGAGTTAGAAGATAAAGAAAAGGAAAGAAGAGCCAGATGAAGTTTGGAACTTGAAGCCCAAAGACTTCAAGTGGCAGAAGTAAAAGTACAAGATAGAAGTCAAGCTGAGCAAACTCATCGTAGCCAACAGCCTGTTTGGGATATATACAAATATGTTTAAACATTATCAAAATTCGATGAAAAAGATGCAGAAGCCTTTTTCATTTCCTTTGAGAAATTGGCTTAACATTGAACTGGCCAGAGACTGTGTGGGTAATGTTAATTCAGACCAAGTTGGTAGGCAGGGCTGGTGAGATGTTTGCAGTGCTGTCAGAAATTTCCAAGACCATCCTTGAAGAAGGAAGTGTTATGATTTTTGGGACTGAGCAGATTTGGGACTGAGCAGATTCTACAGGAAGTTTGTACCAAACTTAAGTAGCGTGGTGGCACCGCTGATGAATTTGTTAAATAACATGAAATTTAGGTGGACAGAACAATGCCAGAATGTATTTGAGAATTTAAAAGCAGCGTTAACCACTGCACCAGTTTTAGGCATGCCAAATTTCTTGTAACACTTTCAAGTCACCATTGACAGCAGTGATGTAGGGTTTGGAGCTGTGTTGTAAGGATGGTTGTGGAAGTGAAAGGCTAATTGGTTATTTTTCAAAGAAACTCAATATCCACCAGAAAAAGAGTTATTGAGTTTGGTAGTGGCCTTACAACATTTTAATGTTTATGTTGCGAACAATGTATTGGAGAATGTTGTGTACAGTGATTAAAACCCTTAGACGTTTTGGAAAGATTTAAGGACCAGAACACCAGACTATTTCATTGGAGTCTTATGTTACAAGTTTACAGAATATACATGTTGCGGGTCATGAAAATGTTATTGTGCAAGCATTATTGTAGGTTTAAAAGGAAAATGTGTATATAAGATGGTAACAGTAGTGTTCAGTGTTATGTACGAAAAAGAATTTGTATGAAATGTGTAACTCTAGATTAATGATCTATGGATCTAGTAATAATGGTATTAAGGTTTAGAAAAAAAAGTGAAGCCATCTTTTCATCATGATGGTTCTTTTTTTTCTTAAGAGAGAGGTGTTGTGAAATTGGTATAGTATTTTTGGATTGGAGGACAGGACATTAGGATTCGATATTTCTAAAATGATAGGGAGGAAGAGTGTGTGGTCCCTTTAAAAGATAATTTTTTTTATGCTTGGAGATTAAGAAAATGTCTGTAGCAGCAGCGGACGCATAGAGAGTTCTTGAGATTGAAGCATTGTATCAAAAGGCTATACTGTGAGCAGGCAAAGCAGCATTTTTACCAAGAAAACAGGTTTATGAATTTAGCCAATTAACTTAAACAAGGCCCTGGATACCAAAACCCAATTTAATTTAAATCTGATTTTGACACACTTGGACCAATTAATAAGTCGTCAAAGGTATAAAAGAAGAGGGCATTTGAAAATCAATGTGAGAGTGAACTACCATCTGAACAGAAATTTACTGGCTCTCATATAAATCTCTAAGCTCCCGGAGTAAGCAACAGCTAAATAAAGGTACTATAACACTCTTAGTTAATATTCCTGACATAAGAATTCGACAAAGGAAGATGTTCCTGACTGGAAGACAGCAGAGAATGCAAAGAACATTCTGGAAAACTTATCCTGACTGTAATTTTGAGAAAGTAAGTTTTAATTTTTTTTTACTAATTTGGTTTATAGAAGTGGAGCTTGTGTCTATTGGAACTGCATACCTTTAGAATTTTGTTCTATTCAGGAATAGTTAGTAGTTGGGGGGAATTGTTCAGTTTGTTAGTAGTTCTGTTAATTTGTTAACTGTTAGAGTTAGATTAAAAAAATGTTACTTGTTGGTTGTAGAGTGTCAGATGTTGATTTTATTTTACTTCTCCTTTATAATAGATTGGGAGGTGAGAGGCAGGTTATACCACTTTTCACATTTCCTTTAACAGAATATAAGGCAAAGCAGGCTTCTCTAGGTGTTTCAGTTTGAACTTTAGAGAGATGTCAAATATTCCTCAGAACTGAAAGGAGCTGGATTATGGTGTTTTAAATTCTATTGACAGACAGGGAGGATGAGTGAGTGGAACACACTGTGAGGGTGCCCACAGCAAAAGAATGAGGACAGTGTTAATGATGGTAAAGGTAAAATGGGTACAAATGAAGGTGTAGAAAGGAGAAACATGGTCCACTCCACTCAGAGAAAGGTAAACAAGACATGACCAGTGTGATCAGGTTGGTGATATAAGAAACCTGAAGAACAAAGGTCATGTTCTGAAGTCATACAACTTAGTATTAAATCCTAGTGTCCCAGAGGCTATAAATTGCCTAGGGGATTTTAACTCAATAGTGAGTTATTGAGGTTGTAACATTCCATCTACATTTTGGTTGCTTCTTATGGACTCTGCTTTTAGCAGAACAGATCCATTCTGTCCTTTGTAAACCTTCATATACACCCACATGATATCTCTATCTCTTCTTGACCAGCTTTAGCACTTCCTTTGTCTTTTGCTCTAAGCAACCGCACCATCTGTTCCACTCACTCTTTCTCCCGTGTCAACAACATTCAAAACATTTTCCAGCCCCTTTCAGTTCTAAAGAAAGGTCATATTGGACTTGAAACATTATCTCTGTTTCTCTTTCCACAGATGCTGCTCGATCTGCTGAGTTTCTCTTGCACTTTCTGTTTTTGTTTCAGCATTCAGAGTATTCTGCATTTCTTTCAAGTTAAGAAAAACAGAAATCAAACAGTGATAAGATAAAAATAGTTTAACTTAAAATATAATTGCAAAATTAAATAACATTCTCATGTAAGTTTAAAGATTAAAAGTTTTATTCTTCTCAGGCAGGCCTCTTTGGAATTTCTGGGCCTTTCCATCAGCTGCAACAAGATAGATTTAGCATACTTTGTACCTTCCTGACTTTAGGAATTTAATTTACTTGTAAGGTGGGGCCTTATAAAATGTTTTGCTATGTACAATTACGATATTCCAATATTAGGAGTGCTGTCTTTACAGAACGGACTCTTCCATAAACGATTCCTTTTAGCTACTGTAAAGAAGAGAGATGTGCTGCAGTTTTTTCATCTTGCTTCTCTGGTCTACAAATTCAGTTGCTTCAGTTGAATCATTTTGTGCCTTTTTGTGCTGCGGTGTGAATTTGCAGGCACAATAGTTGGGACGCTTGAAGACTCGGAGCCTGGTAGCAAGTTGTGGTAAAAGATCTAATGAGAAAGGGAAGAAAACAACAAAATCACAAGAAAGTAATTTATTTGCATGCTTTAGCTTGCTAGCTTTTGGTGTTTAATTGATATCATCAAATCCAACAGTCTTAATTCTATTACAATGTTTTTCTTTAATTTTATCATAATTTGGATGAAGTTTTGCAGCTAGGTTACTTTGGGAACCATGTTAAATCAGACTACTCTTGGGTTTTGTCCGAGGGAGTAGAACTGGATGTTTGAAAAAAGTTTGTGGCATAAGGGCATTACTGGCAAAGGCAGAATTCATAGATCCCCCTGAGTTGAATTTGAAAAGCTACCGTCTGTGATGAGGTTATTTCCATAATGCTGCTAGGTACAGCCTTTCAAGATTTTGAGGCAGCAACTGTGAATGAGCTTCAATAAATATCCATATCACATTGATATGCAATTGGGAAGGAGTCTTGGAATGTTCCATACTTTGTATGTCATTCTTGCACAAGGCATGCTTGCAACATGGTTCCAGTTTTGGGATGAAGTACAAGTGTTCCTGTGTTCTTCCAGCACTTGTCCTTCCAGGTGGCTCTGATCAAGATATGGAAGGTGCTGAACAGGTAATCTTGGTAATAACTAAGAACTTCATTATGATAAACAGGCATCATAACACACACAATCTGAACACAAGGTTCACCAATATGCTAGAAATTTCAGTATACTGCATAGATCTGTATCAGTAAGATTAAAATGCTTCACAAAGTTACTTTCATCTATATGCTTCTCTGTGCTTGTTGCAAAGGAGTTGTCATTTTCAATTAAAATATTGCTCAACCAAGATTTTTTTTTTTTGCTGGGCACTGCTAAGCTGCCCAATCATGTACACCTTTCTGAATGTCAATATTATTGAGTATGTCACACACTGGTGCAATTCTGTACCAGAGGCACACACTGGAGGGCTCTCTTTGAACAGTTCATATCAAAAAAACCTTTGCTGATATCTTATAATGGAACGGTTCAAACAATGGAGTTTTTCATTAAAGGGGAAGGACTGTCAAATGAAAATCCCGTTTGATTAGAAAAAAAATCATTTTGTTATGAAGGAAACTAATCTTGAAATCTGCAGGATGCTAGAGTATGAATTGGTCATGATAGATTCTGTGGTTGAAGCATGCTTATTTGTACATAAAGCAATTTATGCTTTGAAGCAAAAGCAGTGGGAGACCTTCACATAGACTGAAGCCTATTCTCCAATTTTACAGATTTCATTGCAGGTGAGGGAAACATTCTAGAAATGCTCTGTACATTTTTTTGTATTTTTTTCTTCCTTGTTTGTGTTAGACTTTTCCGTGGTATAGCACTTTTTTGTAAAATTTTGATTCACTTCTTTTTCATGTTAATTGTGGTCAAGTTTTGAGTGTAGATCTTTTTTATAAGTTTTAATAGACTTTATTGTCAAATTTATTGGTTGCTTTCTTTCTTTGTTGGCTACTTTTGATGAGGCAGCTTTTCCACCATAAGCTTTTAAGTTAGAAGGAATAGTGATGGCAAAAGAACTGCACTGTTAAGTAGGCTAGATGCCCAAAAGGATAGAGTGATAATAGGTCCCTCCAATTTGATTTCTTTTCCTAGGTCAGCGAGTTAGTGTGTAGCGTGTGCTCTTGACAAAATTCCTGTTACCTAGATGGAGTCTGCCACATCAAACAAACAGGATCAACAAGCAATGGCTACAAAAGATGGTGAGGAAGCTTAACGGAAGAGGAACTTCAAAGAGAAGTGAGTTACTGTTGTATACTGGTGCCGAGACTGAGGCCAGCAAGGGAGGTGTACAGTGTGTGCAATGAAAGTGTAGATGGCAACTCACTTTCTCTCGGATCATGACAAAGGACTGCACCTCCCAGTCGCGAACCACTTCAATTCCCCCTCCCATTCCTCAGACGACATGTCCATCCTGGGCCTCCTGCAGTGCCACAACGATGCCACCCGAAGGCTGCAGGTACAGCACCTCATATTCCAACTGGGAACCCTGCAGGCCAATGGCCTAACTGTGGACTTCATAAGCTTCAAAATCTCCCCACCCCCGACCTCATCCCAAGACCAGCCCATCTCATTCCCGCCTCCTTGACCTGTCTGTCTTTTCTCCCACCTATCCGCTCCTCCCACCTCACTGACCAACCCCCATCCCAACTCCCTACCTACACTCACCTTTACTGGCTCCATCCCCACCTCCTTGACCTATCTGTCTTCTCTCCACCTATCTGCTCCTCTACCCACCTTCCATCATCACCTCCCCTCTCTCTCTATTTATTTCAGAATTCCCTTCCCCTCCCCCATTTCTGAAGAAGGGTCCAGACCCGAAACATCAGCCTTCCTGCTCTTCTGATGCTGCTTCACACCTTGTTATCTCAGACTCCAACGTCGGCAGTTCCTACTATCTCTTCTCTCATTTCTGAATGTGATTCTATTTCTATTGCAATGTTGGACAAACACCATGTTCAATCCGGGTTTCCTCTGGGTGCACCAGTTTCCTCCCACAGTGGAAAGATGTGCAGGTTAGTTGGACTGGCCATGCTAAATTGTCCATAGTGTCCAGAGTTGTGCGGGCTAGGTGGATTAGCCATGAGAAATGCAGAGTGACAGGGATAGGGTGGAGGGTGGCTCTGGGTGGGATCCCTCTTCGCAGGGTTCGTGTGGACTCAATGGGCCGAATGGCCTGCCTCCACACTGTAGGGATTCTATGGTTTTATGAATCAGATGATCCGGGGAATAATGATAAGTGAGGTATGCAGGAAGGAAATTATATGGAATTCTAAGCCCTAACCTCAGCTGGCATTGCTTGTACTTGGCAGAAGAAAGCTGAAGTTGCAGCTTTGTTCAGTGATGCCCCTAGTTAATGTGGGTCAGCATGAAAACCTGATCTATCAAGATTGTGTGGACAATGAATGTTCTCCAAGGACCCCATGTTAAGCAACGGTATGTGCACACTTCTACCAACGTCCATTTGGCAAGTCCTCTGGCAGTGGAGGATTGGCTGTAAATCTGAGAGTTCCTGGTCAATAATCTGTGCAGAGATTCAGGAAGGTTTTTGAGTATCTGTGGTGGAATGGAGGTAATTTTAGGCAGCAGTATCTGTGATTAAGCATTCTCACCATGATATTCTCTGCTCACCCCAAATGGACAGGAGTCTAGAAACAGTGCCTTAAAATAGGGTGTCCTATTGATAACGAAAGGCTGACAGCGATGCTCACTTTATGGAATAGAACCTTGGGTGCACTGGTCGCTCCTCAGTTGTATAAATGAGAGACTGATGAGTTATCACCTACTGCTCAACCATATCAAACATGCCACCATCATCAGCACTAATGCCCTGATCATTGTCACTGATCAAGGTGTTAAGGAAATGTTCTACACGTAATTCTCTCTAACATGATAGTTGTGTTTATGTGTGACCTTGAGTTATCGAAAATCACTATACCTGTACAGCAGAAAGTTTGTGTATCCAAACAGTGTCTACTATCCATCAATCATGTTACAGCCAATTCACGTTAGCAAAACACGCGTTATAGCTGAAATACCTGTATTTTAAAATTGATGAAGCTCTCACTGACATCCCAAAAGAAGAGATCATCCTTTTTGGGACTTTAATGCCAGGTTTGGCTGTGGCTCTGAGTAGGAGAGTGCACCGTTGGGCAAATCAAGGTGCAAAAGGTCCATGCAAATGGCATCCACCTGCTTACAAAGTATATTCAATATAACAAACCACCACTGTTGTGTTGGAGGCAGGGTCCATTGAGGCATTCAAGATGCATTTAGTGATTACATAAATAAAGTGAAGGGTTAGACAAAAAGAGTGTGAGAATGGCACTAAATCATGATGCTCATTTGGAAAGATGGTGCAGAGACAATGGCCTCTTTTGTGCCTTAAGGGTTCTGTGATTCTGTGACCGAATAATTTTCTTCAAAAAGACAGATAAATCACACTATGAGGTATTTCCCTTTTATCCATAGCTGAGCAAATCCTGACATGGATTCTCCTGAACTGTTACCTTCTGTCATTTAGAAATTCCGCAAGTGACAAAGTATGGCTCTAGACCTTCCGAGGAAGCCTTTGACAAAGTCTCCGTTGCGCAGTACATCCAAGGTAAATGCTGAGAAGATTAACTGAAAACCAGCCCGGCAGGCATGCAGCAAACCCCTGAATCACTTCAAGTCAGGAGGACTGAATGCAGCTTGACCTACAGATCCTGCTTTGTCACGTGGCTAACCTTCTAGGAAGGGGATGAGGGGAGGAAGAAAATGCTGCAATGATACTCTGAAGCTTGCTCCTAATTATTCCAAATGGCATCAACATGTCCATCTGGCCACATCACACATTGAGTCACAGTGTTTTCATAATGAGTCAGAGCAGCAGAAGGGAACGAAAGAAACGGAAACAAATTCTACCTTCCTCATGGGACATCCTGCCAATGTGTCCAAAGATCTGTAGATTTCAGAATTCTGACACATGAAATCTTATGGCAGAAACTCAAAACCTGAACAGCTTTCATCCTCGAATAGAGGGGCAACTAATGACAATGAATGGAATACAGAATAATATTTTAATAGTTGGCAATGGTAGAAAACTTGGAGGTTTGGCAAACCGTGGGGACGCAATAGTATTTCAATGGCCTAACAGAATGAACAGACAAAAGTCGGATGGAACTTATTACAGAGAAGAGTGAGATGATGAATGTTGGAAGATGGAATATAGACAGGCAATACAGATAGAATGGAACAGTTCCAAAGGGGGTACATTACAGAAGATCCTGGAGGTTCATGTGCATAGATATAATGGTGGTGGGATACATTGATGGAGTGCATAAATAGAAGTATCGCGTATTCCGTTCATTTCCTATCAGCACTCATTTAGAAGGGAAACTGAGGTCATTGAAAAGTTGTTGTAGAAATTTACCAAATTGGTTCTCGGCAAGAAAGATTTTAGCAACAAGGTTCAGTTGGAAAAAGTAGTATTGTTTTCCTTGAAGCATAAG